TGTGTATGTGTGTGTGTGTGTGTGTGTGTGTGTGTGTGTGTGTGTGTGTGTGTCCGAGGGGGGCAGAAGTGGAGGGGATGGGAAGGTGGGAAGGGGGGGGGGGGGACAGGGCAGAAATGAAGGGGACAAAAAGGTAGGGGGTGCAGGGCAAAAGCGAATGAGATGCAAGGGGGGAAACCTAATGTTATCAGTTCACATCTGATTATCGGGGGTGGGGGTCATGGCGGTCAACCCTTAAAATGCAAGAAACGGACAAATAAACATTTACATTGCAGTCCGTTTAAACCGAAATCTGTGGAACCGTCGGTTGTTCTTAGGTTTAGCCAGGTTTAGAGAGGTCGCTCACAAAAATAAAAGTCGGTGATTGTATTTTCTTTCGGTTTACCGCTGTTTTGGATTAACCGTGCTCGTTTTAACGCACACCACTACCCTGTAAAGTGTGTACTTTCCCTCTGAGCAACCATTCAATTGTTTTGGGATTGGGTTCTTTTCGTTCATTTTATTTTTTAATGATAAAAAAACAAAAACCGAATAGCTCACAATAAATCGATGTGCGACATCGGCTACAGAATGTGATAGAAACTGACACCACTTTGTGAATTAGGCATCAACAAACTATTCGGCCGAAGTATGGACAAAAGCCCCCCACATGTATTACAATTGAGCAGGCTTTTCAGTCAATATTGTGGAATTGAAAGGGAAAGCGGGTATTACGGAGCTTAGAACCGCCCCCCCCCCTCCCCCCGTTCCCTTTTCCCGCCCCAAGCCCCAGTTGTTTCACCAAAAAGAAGGAAAACGGAATACAAATTTAATTTCTGTGTTCATAGAAAGTATCTGGTATCCTTTACAACACGTGATGTTATTGTTCAACAATCACAGACAATGAGATGTCATCTATATTCATCAATCTTTTCATGAGTGGGTTCTGTAGGCTATAAAGAACTTTTGTTGGCTTATTCTGACCGGGTCTAGATGTACTCGGGGGATCATTCAGTCTCACGGGAAACCAACGTTTCTCCACTCCCCCCCCCCCCCAAAAAAAATAACCAAACACCCCCCTCTCCCCCCGAGTCTGAGTCCATACCCGAAAGCATCTAAATGCTGGATCGACGTTTCTCCTCCGGTATCGATGTTATAAGCTTCAAGCTATCTCGATTACTTTGAAGAAGTGTTGGAGCCTATACAATAATTTAATATGGCCTATAATTTATAATAACACTATCGGTACTCACATTCATAAGTACTGCCGGCGGAAGCGTGTTTCGAATAATGTCATTGGGTGAGACATGACGTGTTCCGGTGCTTTTTGTGCCTTTCCCTGATAGGCGGGAGGGTGGTAAGCAGGTGTGTTTATGTGCTCCTTTCTTTATCATTACTTACTGATTGTTATACTCTTGTGCATCTTTCCCTCTGGGATAATAAAGCATTATCTTATCTTATCGTATCTTATCGTATCTTATTAATGGTCAGTGCTGTATGCGGCGTGTTCTAATGTGCTCTTTTCTTCGTCGCTGCGTTGAGTCGGTGTCTCCGGTTGAGTATTGAACTAGAAAGTATCGAAATACTAATTACAGCAATTGGTTTCGAGTACTGAGTAGGCAACGTTGACTGGATTTCGTGACATAAACAAAATCGGCATGGGAGAAGAGGAAGAAGGGAGTGGGGTGGTGAGAAAGGAACAGGTTGACGAGATGGAAGAAGAGGACGGAGAACTAAACGAACTTAAGGAGTGAGGATAGATTCTATGTCAGGGCGATGTGAACGGGGAAAGAAAAGCCTGAAACATTAGAATCTACTGTCCGTTACTTTCAATTTCAACAATATTCACCTTACAATGACGTCAGCCCTAACTGACTTGACCCTAAACTGAAATCAATTATAACTAACTTGACCCGAAATAAATACCAACCCTAACAGATTTGAATAAGATCTATATTAACATGAATTCTAACTGATTCCACCTAGTAGTGAAACCAACTCTGACCAACATTACTCTAAACTGACACCAACTCTAACTAACATGAGTATATTATAATTGCATCACCTCTAACTTCCCCAAGCTAAACTGACATCCCCTCTTAACGTCTCCAACCTATACTGACATCACCTCTCTTAACTTCTCCACCCTAAACTGGCATCACCTCTTAACTTCTCCATCCTATACTGACATCAGCTCTAACTTAGATGAGCCTCTATTGACCTCAACCCTAACTGACTTGACAGATCTGCTGAGGTCCAAGTTGTTCCTGGCAAGCAGACTGGTCAGTCTGGGGCCCGTGACCTCCACAGCCCTGGCCGGTTCATCCTCCTTCTTCTCTAGCACCACCTCCAGCAGGTCTCGACTGTCTGTCCGACAACTGTCCGTGGAGCGACCCAGGTCCAGCATCATATTGACCCTTGATGTCTCTGGGAGAGATAAAAACAAGACAGAAGTTTCAAGCAAAAGGAAACGTTTAAGCAGGGTAGATAAATGTCAGATAAAGGTATAAAAAGGAAGGCT